CTTCTTGAGAGTGAACCCACAGAAAGCAAAAGGCCCAGATGGAGTTCCTGGCCGTGCACTCAGATCCTGTGCAGACCACACAGTGGCAGTATTTGCAGACATCTTTAACCTCTCCTCACTATCATGCAAGATTTCCACCTGCTTCAAGATGACCACTATCATTCCAGTGCCAAAGAAAAAGGACTACCTTAAGGTAGCTTTGACATCCATCCCTGTAGCTCTGACATCTATCATTATGAAGTGTTTTGACAGGTTAGTATTGATACACATCAACTCCAGCCTCCCAGACTGCCTCAATCCATGACAATTTGCCTACTGTTGCAATAGATCCACAGCAGACACCATCTCCCTGGCCCTACACTCATCTCTGGAACATCTGGATAACAATGATACCTATATCAGACTCCTATTTATTGGCAATACAAACAGAAATTGCTGGAAAAGCTCAGCAGGTCTGGCAGAGTTAACGGTTCAGGTCCAGTGACCCGTCCTCAGAACTCAGAGTTCTGAGAACTCAGCTGAGCTTTTCCAGCAATTTCTGATTATGCTTCTGAGTTCCAGCATTTGCAGTTGTTTCCGTTCCTGTTTATTGGCTTTAGCTCTGCCTTTAACACCATCACTTCAACAAAATTCATCTCCAAACTCCAAGATCTAGGACTCTGCTGATCCCCGCTGCAACTGGATCCTCGACTTCCTGACCTGTAGACCGTAATCAGTAAGGATAGGAAACAACACCTCCTCCATTATAATCCTCAACACTGGTGCCCCAGAAGGCTGCATATTCAGCCCTTTATTATACTCCTTATATACTCATGACTGTGTGAGCAAATTCAGCTTTAACTCCATTTACAAATTTGCTGATGACATCACTGTAGTGGGTCAGATCTGAAACAATGATGAGACAGAGACAGCTTAATGGCACGGTGGTATAAAGACAACAATCTCTCCCTCAATGTCAGCAAAACAAAAGAGCTGGTCATCGACTTCAGGAAGTGGAGTGGTGGACATCCCCGCGTCTGTCTTGATGGTGGTGAGGTGGAAGTAGTTGAGAGCTTCAAGCTCCTAGGAGCAAATGTCACCAACAAAATGTCCTTGTCCATCCACGTCAATGCTACAGTAAAGAAAGTACTCTACTTCCTCAGAAGGCTAAGGAAATTCAAAATGTCCATTAAGACTGTTTTTACAGATGCACCATAGAAAACATGCTGTCCAGATGTACCCCAGCTTGGTTTGGCAACTCCTCTGCCCAAATCTGCAAGGAATTACAGAGAGTTGAGAATGCAGCCCAGTCTATCACGAAAACTAGCCTTCCATCCATTGATTCTGTCTACACTTCCCACTGCCTCGGAAAAGCAGCAAACATAATCAATGACCTGGCCCACCCCAGTTATACTCTCTTCCACCCTCTTCCAACAGGCAGAAGATACAAAAGTTTGGAAACACATATCAAATCAGGGCAGGACTTAAATACTTAATGGTAAGGGCCTGGGGAGTGTTGCTGAACAAAGAGACTTTGGAGCACACGTTCATAGTTCCTTGAAAGTGAATTCGCAGGTAGATAGGATAGTGAAGAAGGTGTTTGGTATGCTTGCCTTTATTGGTCAGTGCACTGAGTATAGGAGTTGGGAAGTCATGTTGCGGCTGTACAGGACATTGGCCAGTTTTGGAGTACTGCTTATAATTCTGGTCTCCCTCCTATAGGAAGGATGTTTTAAAACTAGAAAAGGTTCAAAAAAGATTTACAAGGATGCTGCCAGGGTTGGAGGTAGAGGCTGAATAGGCTGGGGCTATTATCCCTGGAGTGCCGGAGGCTGAGGAGTGACCTTATAGAGGTTTATAAAATCATGAGGGGCTTCAATAGGGTAAAGACAAAGTCTTTTCCTCAGGGTGGGGGTACCCAAAACTAGAGGGCATAGGTTTAAGGCGAGAGGGGAAAAATATAAAAGGGACCAAAGGGACAACATTTTCACGTAGAGAGTGGTGCGTGCATGGAATGAGCTGCCAGAGGAAATGGTGGAGGCTGATACAATTACAACATTTAAAGGGCATATGGATGGGTATATGAATAGGAAGGGTTTAGAGGGATATGGTCCAAATGCTGGCAAATGGAACTAGATTTATATAGGATTTTTGGTCAGCATGGACGAGTTGGACCGAAGGGTCTGTCTCAGTACTGTGTATCTCTATGACCCTATAACACATTCAAAAACAGCCTGACTTGAATGATTTTATTGTCACGTGTATTTTACAGTGTGAAATACAATAAAATACAGTGAAAAGCTTTCATTCGTCACCATGATACGGCATCATTTTGGTAGTTTTGAAAATAACAAGAAAATGAAAAGATATAGCTTAAATAGAAGACCATCTACATTTGAGTTCAGAGCCACCTCAATGTCAACCTAATATTGCTTCACTGCAGCCAATGCCCAACCCAATTACGAAGTTGCTGATCCTCAGGCACCATCTTTCGCCACTGGGCCTACCTCACCAATGTAGCAGCCGCTGATTCCGGAGTTCCAATCTCATCCTGCAAAAGTAAGTAAGGATTTGATGTCTCCCCTGCTCCCTCAGCACTGGGCTCGTTCTCCCCTCCATGCCAGGCCCGCTCTCCTCCAGCACAGGTCCACACTAGGCTAACTTGCCACTGTCTTTGCTGTCTGAACACTTCTCAGTAAGTGGGCAAAGGGTAAGTAAAAGAGAAGAAAAGGAAAAACAAGAGAAAAAAGAAAAGAAACAAAACTAAAAGCAGATGGAGTGGATGAGCCCTGGGCTCAGGAGTCCTACCCTGCTGCCATCATGATGGAGACTTCAGCTTCTTCCCTATTGTTATCAGGTTTATGAATGGATCTCTCGTATATTAGAGCTGATCTTTCTCTGTATCTTCTCTGCAGCTGTAACACTATATTCCATACGCTGTTCTATTTCCCTGATGTACTTAGGGAAGGTATAGTATGTCTGGTTAGCACACAAAACAGTACTTTTCACTGTATGTCAGTACATCTGACAATAAGAAATCAAATCAGATCATACCTGGCACATAGGAAGATGGTTGTGGTTGTTGAACGTCAGTCATTTCAACTCCAGGACGTTTTTGCAAGAGTTCCTCAGGCTAGAGTCCTAAGTCCAACCTTCTTAACCTGCTCATCAATGACCTTCCCTTCATAATAAGGTCAGAAGTGGGGCTGTTCGCTGGTGATTGCACAATGTTCAGCACCTTTCACGACAACAGTCCACGTTCAATTGCAGCAAGATCTGGTCAATATCCAGGCTTGTAATATTCGTGCCACACAAATGCCAGGCACGAATCTCTTGACAGTCAGTGGCACTACTATTACTGAATCCCCCACTATCAACGTTACCATTGACCAGAAACTGAAGTGAATTAGCCATAGACTGGTTACAAGAACAAGTCAGAGGCTAGGAATCCAGGAGCAAGTAACTCACCTCCTGACTCCCCAAAGCCTGTCCACCATCTACAAGGCACAAGTCAGGAGTGTGATGGAATACTCCTCACTTGCCTGGATGGGCGTAGCTCCAACACTCAAGAAGCTTGATACTTTAAGGGGCAGCGATGGTCCTAGTTATATTATTGCTGGACTATTAATCCGGAGACCTAGGTCTGCCATGAAGTTCTTGTTGATTGTCAGGAAAAACCCATCTGGGTCCTTTATGTCCTTTAAGGAAGGAAGCTGTCACCTTTATCTGGTGTGGCCTACACTTGACTCCAGACCCACAGTAATGTGGTTGACTCTCAACTGCCCTCTGGGCAATGATTGCTGGCCTAGCCAGTGATATGCACATCCATGAAATGAATAAAAGTAAACAATCCAGGACAAAACAGTTGCTTCATTGGCATCCCATCCATAACCATCCACTCCCTCCACCACTGACACTCTGTAGCAGTAGTGTGTACCATCTACAAGATGCACTGCAGAAATTCACTGAGACTCTTTAGTCAGTACCTTCCAAACCTGCAAGCCCTACCACCTACAAGGACAAATCAGCAAGTACATGAGAACACCACTACCAAACAAAAGTGCCCCATCAACCCCATACTTTCCTGAGTTTGAAATATTTATTGCCATTCCTTCAGTGTTGTTGGGTCAAAATCCTGGAACTCTCTCCCTAAGGGCATTGTAGATGTACTACATGGACAGCAGTGGTTCAAGAACGCCATTCACCACCATCTTCTGAAGGGCAACTAGGGACAGGCAATAAAGCTGGCCATTAGTGATGCCCACGTCCCATGAATGAAAACAAACTAGACACAGTGCTTTAGGTGGCTGTGACCAGAACTGCAATGGAGTTCCTCACTCACAGAGTTTCCTACTTTCCAATCTGAAGTATTGCTGGAAAAAAATGACATATTGTCAAGCTGTTCATCTTGCACTCATCAGGACAGAAGCAAAAATAACAAATTTCAAAGGGAACAACAATTTCTACAGAAACAGAGTGCTTAATGTCTGGCAAGTGGACTCTGGTGAAAGCTATATCGTGGAGATTACATCAGGGAACAGATACAACAAAAACTGTTATAAATACCAACAGACAAGTTGACTCTGACTGATGTATCCCTATTACACACAAAATCAGTGTCCCCCAAGTTTTCATTTAACTAAAAAGAGCACTATGTCCAGACAAGTTCCTTTTACCTGCAGTGGGTGGGGCCTTCTTACAGGAAGCTCCATCTGAAGGGCTGGTCCTCTGCAGGAGGTGGGGGCTCTAATGAGTCCAAGAAGAACTGCTTTGACAGTATGACTCTCTTCAACAATCCTCATATTCCCATCTACAGCTTGAAAGCATCCTAATATCTCCCAGTTTGCCCACATCCCTGTGTAAGGAACAAAGATCTTTGCGCTGGTAGTGGAACCTTTCACCAACCAATCCTCTGAAACAGGACAAGACAACAGTCAAGCAAACTGCAATTCATCATCTTGGCTTCTCAAACCCAACTTGTGCACTGTAGATTGAAGAAGAAAAATATTTAACTTCTTTACCATGGTGAAGACGAGAGCTCCAAGTCCAGCATAAAATGTCTGTAACCAAGGAAGCTGAAAAGAAAGTAGCACAGTAACTCGTTACCACTCGTTCTTTGCAGTTTAAACTCCTTACATGTTCCCTGGGGGTGCAGGGATGTTGATCAGGTCTGAGAAGAGGACCAGACAATTAGCATGCACCAGGGAAGGCCATTCACCTAATAAACACACTCCTCTTTGATGTAAAGGTCTTGGTCTGGCACAGTCTATACATTGTGTGGTTGCAGTCACTGATGGATGGTTTTGATAGAATAACTGAGGACAATTAGTCCACTGTCCGAAGACTAATAACCAGAAGATTTTAAGGTGTGTTTCTTTTCTTTAAGAATGTTTCTACATTAATTCTGATTTTGGTGCCTGGGCAGGAGAACCATGTCCAATTCTGGGAAGCTTTTCATGGCCTCAGAGTGAGTGAGGAAGGGATTTAACAGAATGTTAGGAATGAAGAAGGACTTCAGTGAATGTAGACAGACTGCAGAAGCTGAAGGGGAGATCCAATCATGGATTGTAAAATCATGTAGAGATTATTTCCTTTGGCAGGAAGATCAGTAACCAGAGGACAGAGTTTAGATAATTGGCAGAGTCAGAGGTGATCTTTTCTTTTACACAATGAGGACTTGTGATCTGGAAAGCGCTGCAAGAGAGAGAATAGAAACAAATCCAATAATAACCTTCTTTCTTGAGATTGGGGGGAGGGTTTGGAGTTTGCAGGGGGACAGAGAAAGAGCAGAAGATGAACCAATTGGATCTATTTTTTTTTTTACAAAGAGCTAGCACAAGTGCAATGGGCCAAAAGGCTTCTTTGCTATAAGATTCTACAATACTAAAAAGTGGGTATACAGATGAATGGTCAAGTCTCTGGAGAAAAGGCATCTAATTTATGAGCAAAATTTAATGTGGAGCTCATTCCGTCTGTCTTAGATTCATATACCAGGGGGATCACAACAACGTCATCTAGAGTCAGGTGTCTGCAGGCCAAGGAACCTCTTTCAGAGTTGATGAGGAGGACTCTGAGCTTCGGACACTGTGATGCATCAGGGAGTTGTGTTCCAGAGTGGATGTTTTTTGTTCCAGAGAGCAGTCACACCACTTAGATCAGGTACTTTGGAATTGGACTAATGATCAGGCTTTGGTGTGATTATAAATGAGGCTGGTGTGGGGATTCAGATGATAGCAGTGGAGCAGCCTCAGCCCCTCATTTTCCCAACAGGTTTCAGATTCTTGCAGCTGGGGCTGCAGGGAGAAGGAGCAAACACAGTGCTGTGGGGAAGGATACATTCAAACGGGCAGAGTGAAAAGGAATGTAGCTGTAGTACGGGATCAGTATAGTTTGGGTTCTAGAATCAATTCTTTGCAGCCTAGTGTGACAGATCAGTGTTGCCGACCAGTATCAAGGATAGCTCTCAGGCCTGAAGTGGAACTTGGAGTGGGAACGGCAGGATCCATTTTTCCTGTCCTCGTGGGTATCAACTTCACAGGCAGGAACAGGAAAGAAGTCCTACAGGGGGACTGTGAGCAGCGAGGGGCTAACTTGAAAAACAGAATCACAAAGGCTGCTCGATTCCATCCTCAACTTTCACTCCTACCACCATTGAACACTCAGAGTCATTGAGTCATAGAATTGTATAGCACAGAAACAGACCCTTTGGGACAACTCATCCATGCCGACCAGATATCCAAAATTAATCTAGTCCCATCTGCCACATCCCTCTAAATCCTTCCTATTCATAGACCCATCCAGATGCCTTTTAAATATTGTAGTTGTACCAGCCTCCACCACCAGCTCTAGCAGATCATTCCATGCACGCACCAACCTCTAGAGAAAAAGCTGCCCCTTAGGTATCTTTTAAATCTTTTCCCTCTCACCTTAAACCTATGTCCTCTAATTTTAGAATCCTCTACCCTGGGGAAAAGATCTTGACTATTTATCCAATCCATGCCCCTCATGATTTTATAAACCTCTATATGGTCACCCTCGAGTCTCTAATGCTCCAGGAAAAATAGCCCCAGTCTATTCAGCCTCTCTCTATAGCTCAAACCTTCCAATCCTGGCAACATCCTTATATATCTTTTCTGAAACGTTTCAACTTTCACAACATTCTTCCTCCAGCACGAAGACCAGAGCTGAATGCAGTATTCCAAAAGTGGCCTAACCAATGTCCAGTATAGCCACAACATGACCTCCCAACTCCTATACTGGATGCACTGACCAATACAGGCAAGTGTACCAAAAGCCTTCTTCAGTACACCATCTACCTGCAACTCCACTTTCAAGGAACTATGAACCTGCACTCCAAGGTCTCTGCGCTTAGCAGCATTCCTCAGGACCTTACCATTAAGTGTACAAGTCCTGCCCTGATTTGTCTTACCAAAGTGCAGCACCTCACATTTATCTAAATTAAACTCCATCTGCCACTCCTTGGCCCATTTACCCATCTGATCAAGATCCCATTATATTCTGAGGTAACCTTCTTCACCATCTACTACACCACCAATTTTGGTGTAATCTGCAAATTTACTAACCATACATCCTATATTCACATTCAAATCATTCATGTAAATGACAAAAAGGAATGGACCCAGGACCAATCCTTGCAGCACACTGCTGATCACAGGCTTCCAGTCTGAAAAGCAATCCTCCACCACCACCCTCTGCCTCCTACCTTCAAGCCAATTTTGTAGCAAATGGCCTAGATTCTGTGATCTAACTTTGCTAATCAGTCTCCTCTTTCAAACCTTGTCGAATGCCTTGAAGTCCATATAGACAACATCCACTGTTCTACCTTCATGATTCTTCTTTGTCACTTCTTCAAAAATCTCCATCAGTGAGACACAATTTCCCATGCACAACACCGTGTTGACTATCCCTAATCAGTCCTTGCCTTTCCAAATAAACGTAAATCCTGTCCCTCAGAATCCCCTCCAATAACTTACCCGCCACTGACGTCAGGCTCACTGGTCTATAGTACCCTGGCTTTTCCTTACCACCTTTCTTAAATAATGACATAAATTCAGCCAACCTTCAGTCTTCCAGCACATCACTCATGGTTATATGATACAAATATCTCAGCAAAGAGCCCTGCAATCTCTTCCCTAGCTTCCCACAAAGTTCTGGGGTGCGCCTGATCAGGTCCCAGGGATTTACACACCTTTATGTATTTTAAGGAGTCCAGTACCTTCTTCTCTGTAACATGGACACTTTTCTAGATATCACTCTTTCTCCAAGTTCTCTATCTTCCCTATCCTTCTCCACAGTACTGTACTCTGACACAATCTGTAACCTCATAGCCTGGCATATCCCCGACTCTACCATTACCATCAAACCAAGGGATCAACTCTGAATCAATGGAGATTGCAGGAGGGCATACAAGAAGCAGCACGAGGCAAAACTAAAAATGAAATAAAAAAAGAAAGTGTTGGAGAAACTGAGGATGTCTGGCAATATCTGTGGAGAGAGTGAGTGAGAGAGACAGATTTAACGTTTTGAGTGCAATTGACTCTTCTTTAGAACTTAAAGGAGGTTGACAGAGGGGAATGAGGAATGAGTGGAACAAATGGCGAGGCTGCTCAGAACAAGAGACAATAAAATGCCACTAAAAGATTAATACACAAATTAAGAGCTCATAATATTTGGGGTTTTATGTTAGCATGGATGAAAGAGTGGCTGACGAACACAAAACAAAAAGTCATAATAAAGGGGTCTTAACTCATGTGTGCTGTATGGATCTGTGCTTGGACCTCAACTATTTACAACCAGTATTAGTGACTGACTGTGTTATAGCCAAATTTGCTGATGTCACAGAAACAAAAGTAAAGTCACAGAGAACCAGAGATCTCTCACTAGAGACGATTGGTGGTGAGTTTAACCGGAGGATCAACATACCTCAGACAACGTTGAGAAACAGTTATTATGAATCTCAGTTGGTACAGGAATTGAACCTGAGCTGCTGGTGCAAACATGCAGTCCAGCTAACCCAAAAGATAGCTAGGAAAGCAAATTGTGTAGAGCACATGAATATTATGTTAAGAGCTATAGGTTAGGTGAGAGGGCAAAAATTTGACAGATAGATGTAATGTGAGAAAATGTGAGGTTGTTCGTTCTGGCAGGAAAATAGAAAAATGACATTATTTAAATGAAGAGAGACTGCAGAACGCTGCAGTACAGAAGGATATGGCTGCCCTTGTACATGAATCACAACATGTTAGCATGCAAAGGAATGCTTGCCTTGATTAGGAAAAGAGGTGGGATGTTAAAAATTAGGGAAGTTGTGTTACAGCATACAGGGTATCGGAGAGACTGCACCTTTGGCACTCCTCGCTCCGGTGGGGGGGGTCCTATACGGTTCACTAAGCCGATTCCTGGAATGGAGGGATTGTCTTAAGTGGAAAGGATGAACTGAGTGTACATTCATTGGCGCATAGAAGTATGAGAGGTGATCTTGCTGAAATCTAAAAGATCTGTGAAGGTTTGACAAGGTAGATCCTGAGAGGATGCTTCGCCTTGTGGGGGAGTCTAGAACTTACATAGAACATAGAACAGTACAGCACAGTACAGGCCCTTCGGCCCATGATGTTGTGCTGACCTATTATCCTACTAGGATCAAACTACCCTACATTATACTATCATCCATGTGCCAATCCAAGAGTCGCTTAAATGTCGCTAATTTATCTGACTTGGGGACACAGTTTCAAAATAAGGAATTTAATTTATTTAAGAAGGACTTGAACGGAGATTTTTTCCCTCTCTCAGATGATCATTCATCTGTGGAATTCTCTCTCGCAGTGAGGTTGGGTATTGAATATATTCAAGCTGAATTAAAAGGATTTCTGATCTACAATAGAGTCAAAGGTTATGGTGGGGGAAAACACAGACAGGAAATGTAGAGTTAAGGTCACATCAGAGCAGCCATGATCTTATTAACTGCTGGAGAAGACTTAATGGGCCAAGTCCTGCTTCTATTTCTTATACTTTTACATAACAAGAATCTATTAATCTCATCCAGCTTGTGCATTAATATTATTCCTTCTATTATTAATACCAGTGTTGACCGGGAACAGTCACATGTCTCCACCCTTTGTAGGGGCCACTCAGTATCAAATCATTATGAACAGTTCAATAAAATGGTTGATCATCGTCTCCTAAGGACGGGGAATAAATGCCAGCCCTGCAAGCAATACTCACGTCTCTAGAATAAATTTAGGTAAAATGTTCAATTTTCTAATAATTTTCTGAATAGGTATTTCTAACTCATAAAATTCAGAGTCTGTTTACTTTAGACTAGCATATCAGTGTTTCTATTCACATTATCGTATTCACATCATAATAAACTGACCTATGATCAGGTTGTTTACTTACATATCCAAATGGAACAGTAAAGACCATTACTATCCCAGTAATGAACAATACCATCAATAGTCCAAACATCAGCCCATGGCAGGAGGTGAAGTCAAACTGCAACAAAAAGCACAGTCAATGAGAGGATTTCTCCAACAAATGGCTCCAATGCTACAGTAAACACCAGAGGAGCCAAGAGAGGGGATGATTAAAACCAGACATCAGGAGCTCACCATCCTGGTTTTCTGGCTGTAAAAACCTTCCCTCTCCCAATCCTTAAAATCTTCCTGATTTCTACCTGCCTCTCCTCTCTACAACGCCTGACCAACACTTTTTTTTCCCCTGGCCATTGTCAATACCCATCCCATTCCTCACCTCCCTCTTCCTGACCCCACTCTCTTGCAGATTTTTTTTTATTCATTCACAGGATGTGGGAGTTGCTGGCTGGGTCAGCATTTATTGCATGTCCTATTTGCCCTTGAGAAGGTGGTGGTGAGCTACCTTCTTGAACCACTACAGACCTTCTTGAACCACTACAGTTCATGTGCTCTAGGTAGACCCACAGTTCTGTAATGGAGGGCATTCTTACCCAGTGACACAGAAGGAACGGTGATATATTTTCAATTCAGGATGGTGACTTATGGTGATGTTCCCATCTATATACTGCTGTCATCCTGCTGGATAGTGGGCTTGGAAGTTCATTGGTCAATTCCCATCAACCTCACTCACTCCCTAACCAAGAATTAGCAAGCTCCTAGCTTTAACTATCCCACTGATCCATCCTGGGCCCCATTGTTACAAAGTCATTTTTGTACGCCAAGATCTCACATATAGCATCAAACCAAATGGACAGTTTATCTGTTCTGATAATATTGAGCAAATGTCTCAAGTCAGTGGGAAAACAAAAGCTTCAGCACTGACGGGGAGATAGGGAGTTGGTGCCCAACAGTGTGGCCATCTCTCAGTGCTGAGCCATCAACAGTGAGCTGTTCCCTCAGTGATACAGTGAATATACTGTTGCCCAATGAAACATCTTGTAAAAACTACTCAAGGCATGAATTAGACCACAATGGTGAATACTGTAAATGTTTTGGGTCCTTGTCTATGAAAGATATGCTGGAATTGGAGGCAATCCAGAGAAGGTTTATTAGGTTCATACCAGATTGGAGGGACTGTCTAATGAGGACAGATTGAGTAGGTTGGGCCTTTACTTGTTTGAGATGCAAAGAATGAGAGGAGATCTTATTGAAATACATAAGATTATGAATGGCTTGACAGGGTGGATGTCGGGAAGTTGTTTCCCCTTGTGGAAGAATCTAGGACTAGAAGGCATAATTTCATAATAAGGGATCACTCATGTAAGACAGAGATGAGGAGGAATTTCTTTTCTCAGTGGCTTGTGAATCTGTGAAATTCTTTACCACAACGAACTGTCAAGGCTGAGGTAGACAGATCTTTAATCATGAAGGGAATGAAGGGTTATGGCAATTTGGCAGGAAAGTGAAACGGAGGATTGTCAGATCAGCCATGATCTCAGTCAATTGCATAACAGACTCAATGGGCTGAATATCCAACTTCTGCTGCTGTATGTTTTGGTATCAAAGCACTGACACTGTCATAATGGCACAATCTCAGCACAGACCCTCCAATGATTTGGCTCCGCCTCTCTACCATTATGAATTGGCCTCAACTTGGAGGAGGCTTGTCAAGTCCATGATATCAAGACAACAGCAAATGGGAAATAACTTTAGCAGCGATTACCATATCACTATGTTAAAAATGGTTAACGTACCCTTGTCTGGAAAGAGAAGATGCTGACTGCGAGACAGACTAAGGCAGTGATCCCAATGCAGATCATCACACTCTTTGTGTTATGGTAACTAGGGAGGTAATAAGCAGATGAATTAATACTTACTTATCAAGACAGTCAGAGGTTAAAATGATCAAATAAAAGTGTAAATTAAATTAAATTAAACCCATGAACTCCTCAACCCAGGTTGCACACATCATTTCAATTTTGAAATTGTCAGTGAAGCCTAGCTTTAACAGTTTTATGGGGAAAGTGTTACAGATTCATTCTTCTCTTTGTATGAATAATGTTTTTAACTTTACCATTTAAGGCATGGCTCTAAGTTTAAGATATTGTCTACTTGGTCTGGACTCCCACCACAATTGTATTAACTCCTTTGTGTGCTCCAAACAATGTGTGACTGAGCAACAGTGAGAACACATGTGAGAGAGCATACGGGAGCGCATAAGAGAGATCGCAGGAGCGCGACAAAGAGCGCAAAAGAGTGCGGGAGCCTGAAAGAGCACAAGAAAGTGTGCAGGCGCGAGGAGTGCGGTGGGTGAAAATGTGCTGGAGTGAGAAAGAGAGCACGGGGTCGACAGTGTGGTGAGAAAGTAAGAGTGTGAGAGAGTACAGTGTGTGCAAGTAAAAGTGCGTTTGTGTGTGTTAGTCAGCGTGTGTGTGTGTGTGTGTGTGTGAGAGACAGAAAGTAAAAGTGTGTGTGACAGGTCAGGGTTATAGGAGGGCAGTGATCACAGAGGATTGTGATGCTGCAGCAGATTCTTCCTCAGTTTTTCTGTTTTCTCAGAATTGACTTATTGCTTATCAAAGTCTAAACACAGGGGTTTCCCTATGTTCTCTGACTGCAGAGTGTGAAGCAGGAGTTGGGTGAGTGAAGAGAGTTTAATGAGGGGGGGATCTATAAAATAATTTAAATAAATAAATCTCATGAACACAATAATGATGCAGGGCAGGTGATGTGTTACTGCTGTAGCATGTAGGTTCTTCTGGATGCCACAGCAATCCAGGGCAACCACTTCTGTGGTAAGGGTTTGCAGCTCAAAGAGCTTTGGCTCAGAATTATCAGAGCTATTATCACTCGAATGTTAATACTGAGACCCAGAAGTTATATGAATCCTGCCACTGCAGATGATGGAATTTGAATTCAATAAATTTGGATTTACGAGTCTAATGATAGTCATGAAACCATTGTCGACTGTCAGGAAAAGCCCATTTGGCTCATTAATACCCTTTAGGGAAGGAAACTGCCATCCTTCCCTGGTCTGGCTTACACGTGACTCCAGACCCCCAGCAATGTGATTGAACTCTTAACTGCCATTAGGGATGAGCAATAAATGCTGGCCTGACCAGTGCCGTCCTCATCCCTTAATAAATAAAGAAAAAAGTTTGTTCCAGAAGGCAGTCAACACTCCTTAGGTTATTATCTTCTGATTTAGTCCATGGTAAGGGATAAGAGAATAGGACTGTAAGTCAAGTAGGCAATACGATCAAGAAGGTGGGAGTGCAGAAGCCTCAATCTTTTCAAATGTCTAAAAGGTTGCAGTTTGTATGATCGGAGCATAGGCTGTCACTTGAATGAGCTGATTGATGGCAGCCAGTCAAGTTTGGGGGAGTTGGGGGATCCCTTATACTAAGAAGGTAAGGCCAGAAAAGACATTCTGCATAAGGTAGTATAAAGAGCTATGCCTTAAATTGAACAGCAGAATATCCCGAAGGTCATAATCTCTGGAGTACCTGAACCATGGATAAATTGCAATAGGGTAAGGAAGAGTAGAAAGATGAATACATAGCTCAAAGACTGGAGTGGGCAAACTGGGTTCCAATTCGTGTGGCAGTGACACCAGTACTGGGGAAAATGGGGCTGGACTTCACCCCTACTGTGCTGGGACTGGTGTTCTAATAAGTTGTTATTAGGAAAGTTGAGAGGGCTTTAAATTAATTGGTGGGATGGGGAAGCATGTAGGGAAAGATTCAGTAAATATAAGGAAAATGACAAAGCACTAAAGGAAATTGCAAGCTTAAGAGCATGGTAACAGAAAAGGTTTACAAAAACAAAAAAATGTAGGTCTTTGTATCTGATGTCTCCAGCCCTCACAACTAAATGGCTGAATTGTCAACTCAAATAGAAATTCATATCCACAACACGATAGCTATTACATACATGTGGTTACAAGGCAAACAAAATAGGGACCTGAAAATCCATGGGGAATGATATTTAGGAAGGACAGGAGCTACATTCCCTCTAACGTTTCCTCCAAGGTATATGGCTGGCAGCAGTTTTTGGATCCAGTGTCCACATTGGAATCGGTATGCACGGAGCCTCCAAGTGGCTGCAACCACTCAGTGTGAAGGGAACATTGAAAGGGAGCTGGAAAAAGGAGGTAGGGTAGTTCTGTTAATTAAACACACATTAGTACTATAAGAGATGACCCAAGTTCTAAAATTCAAGATGTAGAATCAGTTTGCCAGGAATGAAGAAATAGCAAGGGGCAGAAAACTTTGGTGGGAGTTGTCTATAGGCCATCAAATAGCAGTGATAATGTAAATTACACTATAGATCAGGAAATTAGAGGTGTATTGTTTTCTTAATTCTCATGGGGCAGGGGCATAACTGGCTAGGCCATCATTCATTGCACAGCCCTAATTGTCCAGATGGCAGTTACTAGTCAATCACATTGCTGTGGGTCTGGAATCACATGTAGGTCAGACCAGGTAAGGATGGTAGATTTTCTTCAAGAAAATTTGTGAACCTGGTTAATTTTTACAACAATTGACAAGGTTGCCATTAGATCAACTTTTTATTCCAGATTTTTACTAAATATAAATTTCATATTAACAAGGCAAGGGACTACAATATTAAAGGTGGAAGCCTGGAAAATACTGAAGATCGGAAGGACCTTGGTGTACATAACCACAGATCACCGAAAGTAGCAGGATAGGTAGATAAGTTGGTGAAGGAAGCACTTGGGATACTTGGCTTCATTAGACAAGGTACACAAGACAAGATCGGGGAGATTATGCTAGAACTGTATAAACCACTGGTTAGGACATAATGAGAATACTGTGTACAGTTGTGACCACCACATTGTCGGAAGGATGTGACTGCACTAGAGAGGGTGCAGAGGAGATTTACCAGCATGTTGCTTGGGCTGAAAGGTCTGAGGTTTGAAGAAAGATCAAATAGGCTGGGGTTGTTTCTATTGGATCAGTGAAGGTTGAGAGGGGACCTTATAGAGGTACATAAGATTATGAGGCGCATTGATAAGAGTCCAACACAATCCAGGAGATGGAATACAATGTGGAGAAATGTGAGTATTCCTTAAATTATGAGAGGCTGGGGAATGTTGAACTTCAAATGGAGTTGAGTGCCCTTGTTCACGGATCTCTGAAAGTTAATGTGCAAGGACAGAAAGCAATTAAGGCAGCAAATATATGTCAATCTTTATTGTAAAAGGACTTGAGTATAACAGTACCCTTTCAGTTCTGAGTAAAAGTCACACTGGAATCAAAGCATTAATTCTGTTTCTCTCTCCACAGATATAGCCGGACCTGCTGGGTTTCTCCAGTGTTCTGTGTTTGTTTTGAATTTCCAGCATCTATAGTATTTTGCTTTTATTATAAGAGTAAATATGTCCTGCTGAAATTATATAGATGCTTGATGAGATTGTAGCTGGAGTAGTGTGTGAAGATTTAGTCTCTTTATCTAAGGAAAGATATACTTGCCATACAGGGAGCACAAGTTTCTACAGACTAATTTCTGGGATGGAGGGATTGGCCAAGGAAGAAGGATTAAAGAGACTGGTTCTATATTCTCTAGAGTTTAGAAGGATGAGAGGTGATCTTTTTCAAATGTACAAATTTCTTACAGGGCACGACAGGGCGAATGCAGGATGTTTCCTGACTGGTGAGTCCAGAATCAAGGGACAGAGTTTAAGCAGGTAGGCCATTAAGGTATTTCTTCACTTACAAGACTGTGAAATTTTGACATTTGCTGACCCAGAATTCGAAGTCTCAGTCATCGTAGATTTTTTACAGATTACAAACACTAAGGGATCTGAGGATAGTACAGGAAAATGGCGTTGAAATAGAAGATTCCCATGATATCAAGGTATGATGGAGCTGGCTCAAAGGGCTATATGGCCAACTCCTGCACCTCTTTCTTATGTTCTCTGCCTGATGGATCTCTCTTGCTGTCCCCGCAGTGTTCCCATTAATGGCCTGAATATAATGGAGACAATGTTTTAATGTGTGTGAGAAATTGTTTTTTTTATAAGAGTTCTTACGTGGTAAGCATTCCTGCCATGTATGACATGCCCAGAGTCTGAGGAGAGAAGGAAAGACCACATCAGACAAGAGGAAAAGTTCAAATTCACTGAAATTCATTTAGTCCAACTGAATTAGCAATGCTGGGTGCAGCTCTAACAACACTTGAAACTTGATACCATCCAGGACAAAGCAGCCTGCTTGATTGGCACCACATATACAAGCATCCACTCTCTCCACCACCGATGCTCAGTAACAGCAGTGTGTACTGTCTACAAGATGCACTGCAGAAATTCACCAAAGAACGATAGACAGCATCTTCCAAATCAACAACCACTTCAATCTAGAAGGACAAGGGCAACAGATTCAAGGGAACACCATCTCTGGCAAGATCTCTTCAAAGCCACTCACCATCCTGACTTGGAACATATTGTTTGTTCCTTCAGTGTCACTGGGTCAATATCCTGGATTTCCCTTCCTAAGGACACTGTGGGTCTACCTACAGCACGTGGGCTGCAGTGGTTCAAGAAGACAGCTCACTATCAAATTCTCAAGAGCAGCTAGGGATGGGCAATAAATGCTGGCCAACCAGCAACATCCACGTCCCAGGAGTGAATAAAACAAAAGATTAGTCAGGAAGAAGAGAATGAAGTGATGACGGCTAGACTTTTACATCACGTTCTAACTTGCTGTTGGGGTGCAATGATTATTTCCCAGAGGGATTGAGTCATTCACCAGAACCACTTGTCACCCAGATCAGATTGAGGTAGCAGGCACTGAAGGACATCAGTTACTCAGTTGGGGTAAATTCAACAGTTTTCTGGGCGATTTCTCCCAGTGCCAGACCACAAATTATCCAATTTCCCAGTTTGTCTTAACAAAACAGGAACTCACATTCTGTAGCATCTAGTCCAGGATCAGATCCACGAGGCTGCTGCGTGGACCTGTACAAAATGCCACTGTGGTGCAAATACCACCTGTCTCTGCCTGTGGAAAATAATCATCTCAAAGAATAATTGAGACTATTAAGGTTTGGATCCATGTGGGCTTGCAAGTGAAACAGTCGGTCAATTTGGGGTTGGTGAGGTAGAATCCAGGCAAGTCAGTTTGCTGGCCAGAAAACTGTAAAACCAGCCTGCTTGCAGGTCAGCTGAGCTCAGTGGGTAACACCCTCACCCCAGAGGCAAGGCCACTGTGGGTTCAATATGCCCAGTTGGAGGGGTCACCTTTCAGAGAAAATGTTCACCCAAGGTCCCATCTGCATTCTTTGGTGAGTGCAAAAGATCCCACCAGCTCTGTTTCATAGAAGGACACTTTCTGCTATTCATGTTGCTCTACAGTAGAGATTGGAGCAAACAGGCAAGTGGAAAAGTGGGAGAAGATGGAAAAAAAATTATTTTAACAAACAAAGACTTCCATTTCCATAGTGTCACTGACAACACAAGAACTAAAAATAGGGGTAGGCCATTTGGCCCCTCCAGCCTGTTCCACCACTGGATAAGATCATGGTTGATCCGATTGTGGCCTTAGAATCCCCATATCTCCACTACAGATCAACTTTAGAGTGACCAAAGCACTTTGCAGCCAGTGACATTTTTTTAAAACAAAGTCACTATTGTAGTGTAGGAAATGTGGCAGCCAATATTTACACAGCAAGATCCCACAAGCAGTGATGTCTAAATTATCTTTTCATGATGTAAATATTGACCATAGGACAGGAGGGCACAGGGGGGTGGGGCCAGTGCAGCGCAACGCGGAATCTCTTCTTCAAATACATCATGGAATCTTTAACATGGAACTGAGGGACAGACAGGACCTCAGTTAATGTTAGGAATTCAGGAATTGCTGAAGATGACAGGATATTTAGCAGATAAATGTTCACAGTCATACAGACATTTTCAACTTCAATAAAATTGTGAGAAGTACTTACAAAAATTGCCAGCAGAATCAAGTTCCAGGGATAGCGTCTCCTGCATGAAGATAAAAAAATAGATTGAAAGAAATGAAGAAAATGTAAGTTTAGTAGAAACAGAAAATCTACTAAACTAGCTGAACAAAACTGCAAACAATGATCCCAGAGATTTTTAATTTTCTGCCTGGTATATGGCTTTAAACTTATCCCTTTTAAATGTCTATGAATATGATAGTGTATGTGATGTTGTGAAAGGATTGTTTCTTGGTTGGTTCACTAGGTGCCTGGGTAGTTGGAATCTGCTGAATGTCTCCAGGTCTCCAAAACTAGCAACTGACCAAAACATAGAGGAAGGGAATACAGTACACAAGCCGGGCAGTAACCATGAAGAACTGGTTAATGTTTTGGCTCAATGACTTATTGTTAGAGCAAATTCAACATGAGACGTAACCTCAATTTTTTCCCTTTCAGCACATATTACCTCACCTGCCAGGCATTAGTGACATTCAGGTCCTGAAGGAGACTCATAGCTGATTCGAAATGTTAACCCTGTTTCACTGTCCACAGATGTGCCAGACTTGCTGGGTTTCCCCAGCATTTTCTGATTTAAACAAAGGTACACTCCTTGCCCACTGGGACCCCTACCTGCCCCTCCTTCTTAGCTTAAACACAGGCTAGGCAGAAGCCAGGGGCTTATCAACATCATCCATCTGTCACTTGCACACAAGGGATGCTATTGAAGCTCAACCAGCCCAGGAACCTATGTCCAGTTTCAAATCTCCTACTCTGTATAGGACAGCAAGGAAAATTAAGATCTGTAGAGTGGGGTTAGGGAAGGGACTGGGAGACAACGGGCAAATAGGGGTTCATGATATTGCAATAAGTGGCAGGAACAACAATGAGACTTTTGAGAAAGCACAGCAAGTGGCAATGTGTATGCTGGTGAGAGGTTTCAGTTGGAACTGACCTGATTCCGGAACAGCAGACAAGAATGAGGTAGGTGGTGATGAAGACAGCACTGGAGAGAAAACAAAGCAAAAAGTATTTCAGCTTCGCCAAGAGATTCATAGATTTATAAAAACCTCAACTCTGGGAACTGTTTAAAGGAACATCTACAGAAAACTGGTTCATCTTCACTGAAGCATATGGAAATATCCACAACAGTGACTCCCACGAGGCTATGGAGTGTCTGTGAGGTAGACAATCCCCATTTGTGGGCAGGGAGAGTGAAAATCAGAGGTTCATTCAACTGTTGGGAGTGGGCTGGACAATCACAATGGGGTGCAATTTATATTGTAGTTTTGACAGCAACATCCACAACCCTAGATCAAAATAAAAGGCCTTCTTGGCAAGGAGAAGGTAGAGGAAAGTGAGGAGAGTTGGGGGGGTGGCGGTGCTGAGGGAGACATTGATGAGAACTGCAGCCGCTCCCACATCCTGTTTGACATTGAAGAATTTAAGTGGAGTCACTGCACAATCTACAAAGGTCAACTGGGCCAAACAGTGTGTCACTGCATTTCATATTCTGCATGCTGCTTAGCAAATGGACTGTTGGAGTACTGCACAGAAACCTAGATTGAAAAATTTAAAACAGTAGTTTCAATGTTCCTTTAAACACTTCCTTCACAGTGTCAAGAGACAACAGGAAGAAATTTTCACTTACAAAGAGGTGTAGTACAAAATATGATTGTTCCGCACGTACATTCTGACTGGGTCACTGTGCAGGGAAGCAGAAACATACATAGAATTTATTCATCTTTGACTGTTCAGATGAAAATTAAGTCACAACTCAGTCAGAAACACAAACTGGCATTCTGACATGGCATAATCCAAAAATGTTCAACAAATAAAGGCACAGAGTTGTACAGCATGGAAATAGACCCTTTGGTCCAACTTGTCAATGCTGACCAGATATCCGAAATTAATTTAGTCCCATTTGCCAGCATTTGGACCACATCCCTCTAAATCCTTCCTATTCATGTACGTATCCAGATGCCTTTGAAATATTGTAATTGTATGAGCCTCCACCACTTCCTCTGGCAGCTCATTCCATACACGCACCACCCTCTGTGTGAAAAGGTTGCCCCTTTGGTCCCTTTTATATCTTACCCCTCTTACCCTAAACCTATGCCCTCTAATTTTGGACTCCCCTATCCTGGAAAATGTTCTTGGCTAGTCACCCTATCCATGCACTTCATGATTTTATAAACCTCTACAAGGTCATCCCTCAGCCGGTGATGCTCCAGGGAAAACAGCCCTCGTCTATTGAGCCTCTCCCTATAGCTCAAACCCTCCAATCCCAGCAACATCCTTGTAAACCTTTTCTGCATCTTTCCTATAGCAGGAAGACCAGAACTGAACACAGTATTCCAAACTTGGCAGCTTCCTGTACAACCACACCATGACATCCCAACTTCTATATTCACTGCACTGACCAATAAAGACAAGTGTACCACACGCCATCTTCATTACTCTGTCTACCTGTGACTCCACTTTCAAAAAACTATGAACCTGCACCCCAAGGTCTCTTTGTTAGGCAACATTCCCCAGGACCCTACTATTAAGTACATAAGTCCTGCCTTGATTTGCCTCACCAAATTTTTTTTTATTCATTCATGGGATGAGGGCATTGCTGGTTAGGCCAGCACTTATTGCCCATCCCTAATTGCCAAGAGGGCAGTTAAGAGTCAACCACATTGCTGTGGGTCTAGAGTCACAGACCAGGTAAAGATGGCAGCTTCCTTCCCTAAAGGACATTAGTGAACCAGATGGGTTTTTCCAACACTTGATGATAGAATTATGGTCAACATTAGACTTCCAGATTTTTTTCTTTAAAATTAACATTCCACTATCTGCCATGGCAGGATTCGAACCTGGATCCCAGAACATTATCTAGGTCTCGGATTAACAGTCTAGTGATAATATCATTAGGCCATCACCTCCCCCTCAAATGCAAACACACTTATCTAAATCAAACTTCATCTGCCACTTCTCAGCTCATCGGATCAGGGTCCCATTGAACTCTGAGATAACCTTCGTTACTGTCCACTACACCGCCAATTTTGGTGTCATTTGCAAACTTACTAACCATATCTCCTATATTCACATCCAAATCATTTATATAAGTGACAAAAAGCAATGGACCCAGTATTGATCCTTGCAATGCACAGCTGGTCACAGCTCCAGTCCGAAAAACACTACAATCTGCCTGCTACCTTCAAGCCAATTTTGTATGCAAATGGCTAGCTCTCCCTGAATTCCCTATGATCTAACCTTGTTAACCAGTCTGCCACACAGACACTTGTCGAACGCCTTACTAAAGTTCATACAGACAACATCCACCACTCTGCCTTTATCAACCTTCTTTGTCACTTCTTCAAAAAACTCAATTAAGTTAGTGAGACACGATTTCCCACGCACAAAGCTATGTTGACTATCCCTAATCAGACACTGCCTTTCCAAATACATGCAAATCCTGTCCCTCAGAATCCTTTCCAACAACTTATCCACCACCAATGTCAGGCTCAGTAGTCTGTAGATCCCTGGCTTTTTCTTACCACTTTTTTTTAAATAATGGCACCACAATGCACGAAGTCTAAGGGAGAATAGGGCACATCAGAAAATAATGAAGAGCGAACTATACGGTAAATGGAAAAGCTCCGGGGAAAATTGATGCACAAAAAGATCTGGGTGTTCAGGTCCATTGTAGCCTGAAGGTGGCAACGCAGGTTGATAGAGTGGTCAAGAAGGCATATGGCATGCTTTCATTCATTGGATGGGGCACTGAGTACAAGAGTTGGCAGGTCATGTTACAGTTGTATAGGACTTCGGTTCGACCACATTTGGAATACTGCGTACAGTTATGGTCGCCACATTACCAAAAGGATGTGGATGCTTTGGAGACGGTGCAGAGGAGGTTCACCAGGATGTTGCCTGGTATGGAAGGCACTAGCTATGAAGAGAAGTTGAGTAGATTAGGATTATTTACATTAGAAAGACGGAGGTTGAGGGAGGACCTGATTGAGGTCTACAAAATCATGACAGGTATAGACAGGGTGGATAGCAAGAAGCTTTTTCCCAGAGTGGGGGACTCAATTACTAGGGGTCATGATTTCAAGGTGAGAGGGGAAATGTTTAAGGGAGATATGCGTGGAAAGTTCTTTACGCAGAGGGTGGTGGGTGCCTGGAACGCGTTGCCAGCGTAGGTGGTATTGGTGGGCACGATAGTGTCATTTAAGATGTATCTAGACAGATACATGAATGGACAGGGAGCAGAGGGATACAGATCCTTGGAAAATAGGCGACAGGTTTAGGTAGAGGATCTGGATCGGTGCAGGCTTGGTGCAGGCTTGGAGGGCCGAAGGGCCTGCTCCTGTGCTGTAATTTTCTTTGTTCTTTGTTCTAGCCTGTGTGTGGAGGACAAAGATAAACTTCTTAACATGCACAGTAGCAGCAGCATGTACCATCACACTGCAGCAACAAATGAAGGCTCCTCTGACACACCTTCCAAACATATGGCCTCTACCATCTAGAAGGACAAGGACAGCAGATACATGCGAACATCATCGCCTGAAAGCTGTCCTCCAAGACACTTAACATCCTGACTTGAAAATATATCTTCGTTCCTTCTGTGTCGTTGGGTCTGTTACGCCCCAAGCGCTGCAGTAATTCAAGTAGGCACCACCTTCGCCAGAGTAATTAGGGATGGGCAATAAATGCTGGCCTAGCTGTGACACCCATATCCCATGAATGAATAATAAAAACAAACTACTCTTTGGTCTTACTCACCACCTTCTCAAGACTGTTAGGAACGGGCAATAAATTCTGCCCCAAACAGTGATGCACACATTCCTTGGCTTCACAAAATCCTGAAAATCTACTGGCCGGTTAAGTGTAGCAATGTGAGTCCCCGCTCCCAGGCCGATATCCCCAGTATCGAAGCACTGGACACACATAACCAGCTGTGATGGGTGGGCCACAACACTCCCAAAACAAGTGCTCTACTCTTAGCACCGCAATGGGATGCAATCACTAGGAGGGCAGAGGAAGTGCTATTTGGCCACACTTCCTTAAATAAATGCAAGAGCCCCACCAAAGCATGGGAAATGCTTGCATTAGAATGCACAAACTGGAGAAGGAGTATCTGCCAATCACTTCAAGCATCACCAGGTGGGGAACAATGGAACCTAAGTGCAAGCGGTGGAAAGACCGGGTAGAATCCACAGCATTCCACCACCCACCTTATTAAATAATACCTGTCTTGCTGTGTAACTCCAGGATTGGACTATTCACACACCAGAGAAAAACCTTTCCCCCAGAGTGGAAACAAGTCCATCCTCAAGCCTGAGGAACTGCTAAAGAAGAAGAATGAGAAGGAGGAGAAGAAAAAGGAGAGAGGGATAGATTACGTAATTACAGTCTAGTCAACCTAACCTCGATGGTGTGAAAATTATTCGAAAAGTTCTTACATAGTATAAATTGACATTTGGAGAAATACTGATTGGTCAAGGACAGTCATAATGGATTTATTAAGGGAAGTTCATGACTATCTTGAATTGATGATCAGAGGATTAGATAGGGTGGACAGTGGGAGCCTTTTTCCTCGGATGGTGATGGCTAGCACGAGGGGACATAGCTTTAAATTGAGGGGTGATAGATAATAGGACAGATGTCAGAGGTACGTTCTTTACTCAGAGTAGTAAGGGCGTGGAATGCCCTGCCTGCAAAAATAGTAGACTCGCCAACTTTAAGGGCATTTAAATGGTCATTGGATAAACATATGGATGATAATGGAATAGTTTAGGTTAGATGGGCTTCAGATTGGTTTCACAGGTCGGCGCAACATCGAGGGCCGAAGGGCCTGTACTGCGCTGTAATGTTCTATGTTCTATGTTCTATGATTTGAGAAGACAGCAAGGAGGATTGATGAAGGAAGTAGCTTGTTCATTCACCTAATGTTAGCAAGGCTTTTGACAAAAATTCTACATGGTAGACTGATCAGAAAACTAAAATTCCATTCATGAGGCATAAATAAAGGTGAGTAGCCAAGGTCTTTTCCCTAGGGTAGGGGAGTTCAAAACTAGGGGGCATATTTTTAAGGTGAGAGTATAAAGATTTAAAAGGGACCCAAGGAGCAACCTTTTCACACAGAGGGTGTTTCATATGTGGAATGAACTGCCAGAGAAAGTGGTAGATGCAGGTAAGGTTACAACATTTAAAATACATTTGGATAGGTACATGAATAGGAAATCTTTAGAGGGATCTGGGCCAAATGCAGGCAAGTGGGCCTAATTTAGTTTGGGAAACTTGGCTGGCCTAGACAAGTTGGACTGAAGGGTCTGTATCCATGCTGTATGATTCTATACAAGAATAAGTGACAATCAGTGGCAGGAAACAAAGGGTTATGTTGGAAAGTGTTCAAGCAAAGGCTTATACTTGAAACTTCTGCAGGGGTCAGTACTGGCTTTGCCTGCTACAATGATTTTTGGTTTGCATCCAAAGCCATGTGATTGTTAATGAGCAAGAAATATGTAAACTGTGGGAAAAGATCAATGGACTGCTTAGCTGGGCAAAAAGTATGATCTCAGTCTTCTCAATTTGCTTACATCTGGGAAGACAAACAAGGCAACCCAGTCTCTACAAAGCTCCAGATGGATCGATTTTCAAGACTGTAAAAAGGACAACTCAGTTCTATCAATCTAGATCTGTGTTCACCGAGGCCATCAAGGTGGGAAGCTCAATTCAGGGAATTTCCAACTCAGCAGAACCCCACAGGCACTATTTTCATGCTAGGGAGGCCAGGGTGCAAACAAAGACAAAGAAGAACAAAGACCAATACAGCAAAGGGAAAAGGCCCTTCGGCCCTCCAAGCCTGTGCTGCCACATTTTGCCCTTCCATACTGAAATTGTCTTCACTTACAAGATCCATATCTCTCAATTCCCTTCCTAGTCGAGAATCTATCCAGGTGCTTCTTGAATGCTGCTATTGTGTCTGCTTCCACCACCTCCTCTGGCAACGCATTCCAGGCATTCACCACCCTTTGTGTGAAAAACATGCCTCGCACATTTTTTTTAAACTACCCCCCTCTCACCTTGAAACTATGTTCCGTAGTAATTGACCCCCTCCACCCTGGGAAAAAGCCTCATACTTTCAACTCTGTCCATGTCGTTCACAATCTTATAAACTTGTATCAGGTCACCCCTCAACCTTCTGTGTTCCAGTAAAAGCTAACCCAGTCTATCCAAACTGCAGATGCTGGAGTCAGAGATAACACAGTATGGAGCTGGAAGAACAAAGCAGACCAGGCAGCATCAGAAGAAGGGTCCTGACCTGAAATGTCGACTTTACTGCTCCTCTGATGTTGCCTGGCCTGCTGTGTTCTTCCAGCTCCATATTGTGTTATCCCAGTCTATCCAACCTTTCTTCACAGCTAAAATCCTCCATGCCAAGCAACATCCTCATAAACCTTGTCTGTACCCTCTCCAAAGCATCCACATCCTTCTGGTAGTGTGGTGACCAGAAGCGTATGCAATATTCCAAATGTCGCCTAACTAAAGTTCTATAATGCTGCAGTATAATTTATCTATCTTTATACTCAATGCCTCTTCCAATGAAGGCAAGCATGCTGTGATCCTTTTTTACTACCTTATCTACCTGCAATGCCATCTTCATTGATCTGTGGACATGGATACCCAGATCTCTCTGCACATCAATACTCCTAAGGGTTTTGCCACTGTATAATTTCCACCTGTATTTGACCTTCCAAAATGCATCACCTCACATTTGTCCAGATTAAACTCCATCTGCCATTTTTCTGCCCATGCCTCCAACTGATCTATATCCTGCTGTATCCTCTGACAATCCTCCTCACTATCCGCAACTCCACCAATCTTTGTATCATCCACAGACTTACTAATTAGACCAGCCACATTTTCCTCCAAATCATTTATGCAATCGAGTTGAGCCTGCAGATCTCAAAAGCAGTTTGGATGTGGCCAAAGACGGGTTGAATGGCCCACCTTAGTTCTCTGAGACTTTGTCACATTTGTATTAAAAGTTATTATTAGGTTCTCTAGCCCTCCCTCTCTCCCGTGCTACCTCCCATTTTGATTCCATAGCTCCCTACATGCCCACTTACCTGTTTTCACTACATAAAAACCAAAGAGCCACAAAATAACAACGATATGCACTTGAAATAAAGGCCTTAAAATGCACCAACCACCCATTCAAAAATCTGTTTTGAAAGAAACTGCTGCTTGTACAACGTTGTAGAAGCCATTATACTGACAATAAAAGATTTACCTCATTTCACACTTCTAGTCTTGTTCAAATAAGCATACAGATATTGAAAGAAAGAATTCAAAAAATAAATTATAACTTTATAAAGATGTCAACCAATCAAAGCAAGTACTCACTCCAGTTTCACCTTGAAAACAGACCCTCTGTGAACTAACCCATGATTGAAATTTGGAGCTGAGCCAAGCATTCACAATAAAGGTGTCTCAAGAAACAGATGTCTGCCATTTGTTTCTGTTGATACAGTCCACAAATAGTCTCATTATGATACTTGGCGATCCACTGCAGCACCCATCAGTGCCTCACTTGAAAACCACCTATTTAGCAGAATTATTGAAGCCTCAGATCCTGCTTCTTGTGACAGCTTATACTGGGAACCTCACTGAGCCATTCAGTCTGTTAGGGAAGGGGAGGGGAGAGAAACAAGCACAAAGTTAATTAATCACCGGCACAGTTTTTAGAGCAGAATAAAGAGACTTACCAGAATGTAAAGACTGCCACTATTCCAAAGGTCACCAACAATTGTGCCATCAAGATGGCATAAACCTGGAATACAACAATCAGCGCCCATTATGGGTTTGTAATATCATAACATCTCCCACACTCAGCAGGATCCATTCTTATAAAGAGAGAGAGAGAGGGGGAGAGAAGATGAATGAGGTGGAAGAACGAATGGCAATGAAGGAACGAGAGGGGGACGGCAATGATGGAGGGAGGGGCAAAGATGGAGGGAGAAAGGGAGTGGAAATGAAGGTGTTAAAACAGGGAGCGGCAATGGAGGGAGGGAGAGATGATGGATGGTGAATTGTGTGTGCAGAGGTGGGCCAGCACCAGGGTCACAGACAGGATGAAGGGCCAGTGAGTTCCAGATTGTTCTGACAGACATTTGCTCAGATTTGCTCGATGTCAGCAACATACCTTCTGGATAAAGACATGTCGTATCTTCTGGCTGCTCCAGGAGTCTACAGCAAATGCATTGATGCTCCCAGTGCTGCTTGGATCAGAGTATGGGTTGAATGTAGAAGGCCCATAACTACTGCTGTACCCACTTCCTGCAGAGCAAATCAAAAGGCAAACACTGAACCCAGATTACAGATTCAAACCTGCAATTCATCTTGCGTATTCAAAATTTCATACACTCATTGCAGATAACATGCAGTTAGATACAGCACAAAGCTCTCTTAACGCTGTAAAACCACTGGGATACTCTGCGTGGTGAGGTCAGGACTGCCACTGTATAACACGAGGGTGCAGTACTGGTGGGGACAGGTCTGTAACTGTATAACAGAAGAGTAAAATTTGCAAATAGAAATTACTTTTAGACAAACAAAGAGATGAAACATGCAGGTTGGAGATCTAAAACAGAGAAATCATACTGTGTGTATATATTCAGTAGAGAAGACTAAAGGCGGCACGGTGGCTCAGTGGTTAGCGCTGCTGCCTTATAGTGCCAGGGACCCGGGTTCAATTCCACCCTTGGGCGACTGTCTGTGTGGAGTTTGCATGTTCTCCCCGTTTCTGCGTGGGTTTTCTCCGGTTTTCTCCCACAGTCCAAAGATGTGCAGGCTTGGTGAATTGGCCATGTTAAATTGCCCTTAGTGTTCAGGGATGTGTAGATTAGATAGGTTTATAGGGGAATGGGTCTGGGTGGGATGTTCTGTGGGTCGGTGTGGACTTGTTGGGCCGAAGGGCCTGTTTCCACACTGTAGGGATTCTATGACCTTGATGAAAGCAGTTATGGAAAATTGTCATTTTAGACTAAACAAGGGTTCATTCGGCCCATTGTTCCTGTGCTGGTTCCTGAAAGAGCTATTCAGTTAGTTTCCTACTGTTCTGCCCTTGCTCCCATAACCCTGCAAGTTTCTCTCTTTCAACTATTTATTCAATGCTGACTGAAATGCTATTTCCAGCCTTGTTTTCAAACAGAAATTCAGTTCGTTGTCTTTGGAACACAAGAACAGAAGTAGGGTCAGAAGGAGGAGCACTGTTCACAACAGGAATGGGAAGTCTGGAACTCTCTCCCACATAAAAGCTGCTGCGACTGGTATCAGTTCAAAATTTCAAAACTTCAAAACTGGAATTGACAGAGCTTTTTTTGGGGAAGACTTGTCAGGATTATGGAACCCAGGTGGTGAAATGGAGCTGTGCAACAGATTGGCTATGATCTAATTGAGTGGCAGAACAGGCTCAAGATGCTGAATACACTTGTATTCTTCCAGCACAGACAGGCTTTGCAAATCATTGGATCATAGAGGGTAAATACTCACCAGGGTTAGGCTGCACAAATGTCCAGCTAGGATGCACAGGCATTGTCGGCGGTTGCGGCCCTGGCTGCTGGCCTGGATAAGGCTGTTGCATAGGGTAAGAATGCTGGCCTGGATAAGGCTGTTGCATAGGGTAAGAATGCTGGCCTGGATAAGGCTG